TGCTGCAAATCGAGCGGCTGGGCTGCGCAGAAACATCGGCACTGGGTAAACAGTAAACAAAGCAGCAAGCGGAAGTGCGTTGTGACTGATCGAGTTCGCCGATGACATCAATTGCTGATGTCTTGTCACATTGCCGAAGTGGACGGAGTCACGACGATGGGCTACGCCTTCCTTTCCCTCTGAAAAAGAAAGTGACGAGGCCGCACGAAAATTTGAAACCAGCTGAAAGTTATGTTTTAGCTCCTGTAACTTTCTTAATATAGCACGCATTCGCGAAATTCTTGCGGCCGCGTGTTCACAAAGTAGAAGTGCACATATTTCTCTTTACAACAATTTTAGGACCTTGTGGTTTACTGGCCCTTTAATTAACATTGCTGCATACAATGTGGAGGATATGCTAGAAAGCGGGGACATCTACAACAGTACCTGATTATCAAGAAACAACCACACATGATACTTCTACAGGAAACTAACATTAAAGCTAAGTTATCTGGTTACAGTTCATTCTGCAGGAAACTAACGTTAAAGCTAAGTTATCTATCTGGCTACAGTTCATTTCAGGATAGCGCTCCTCGGGACAAACCGGCCGTCACTATGCCAGTCAAACGAAACCTAACCGTAACGCAGCACGAGATTAGGGCTAATTTGATATCGCACTTGTTCGTAGAGATAGTACCCCCAAAGAACCGAGACAATAGTCTTTTCATTCCCAATGTGTACAGCAGCCCTGTGTACCAAGATAACTCTTTGCTGTACAATTTGATACCATAAACATTCACAACAGAAACTTTAGGTGCCATATAAAAATATCGTTTCCCCCGACTACCTAAAAACAGCCAAATTTCTCGCAGTCACGAAAGTGTTACCGCCGTATTCATAAACTGACCTTGACTTATGGCGGTAAGGCTACTTATGAAAGTACAAGAAAAGTAAAAGAAAAGTACAAGGTGCGTCTCAGAAACCTCCCTTATCCTATCATAAGGGCGCCTTATGAAATCCGCCCTTAACTCGTCGAGTATAGCCCCTGGGTGCAAGGGTAGGTGAATTTTTGCTGCAAAATCATTACTTCGAGCAGCAATAAATTAGCTTGACTGCAAGAAACCAACAACAGTATGCACAGAAGCAACCAAACATAAACAGTAGCGATGTTTGTTTAGCTTTTGGTAAAATACACATTTTTTGTCTCGCCACTTTTTTGCAAATCCCGTCGACGCAGGTTCCTTTTGTTATTTCAACGACTTCTATGTCTTTGCTGTGTTCGGCGGTGTTGTCTTGCTTGCTTGAGTGTTTGCTGTTTTCTTTCACTTTTTTTGAAATTACGCTATATTTATTTGATAGTTTCAACCGTTTTACAGCTTTTTTTACGAAGTTGCATTTATTGTGGAACTATGCAGAGAAGATAACTTCACCGACGAAGTGGCTACGTCCTGACAGATTTTGTGAACGAGTACCAAGACGGACGCCGGGTGCCTTGCAGAGAAAACGAAGTTGAAATGTGCCAACTCCATAAAAGTGTGATGCGATTAGCAGCTGCATGAGACCGGGCATAATGAACCCACGAGTATGGATGGATATTTTCCTGCTGAAACAGCACAGCGAGCAGATTCTTCACGGCACTTTTTGTAAAGCAGGGGTGGCACAAAAATTCGTGCTTGTCGTAGGTCTCAACCAGGTTCCGTCGATCGTTGAGGACTCGCCGCAGCTGTACGAGTATGCTGTGCCGTTCAATATTTCTTCTTTGCAGTCCACATAATGAACGGAACATTTTTATTCATACCAAAATATTTTTGTTACTCGAGACCTCATATTTTTTTTAAAGAGCGTTTCATTGTGAAACATTTCGTATGCTACAATGCGTGCTGACATACTTTTCAAACTGGCACGAGCTATTTTCCCGAGACATATGAAAAATAGCCATTTTCGCGTGGTAACAAAAGCGTTAATAGCCGACAGGTTACCCACACCGACATGTGCCGACGCATTGTCAAGTACTATCAGTATGCTCCTTTTCTTGTCAGCGAAACGAAGGTCCAGCTGGCACACGTACTCCTCGTACAGCTGGGCTGTCATCCAGGCTTTTTTGTTGTGCTTCTAAACAACGCCGGATGGCACCCGAGCGCCCTTGAAGCACCGCAGGTTTCGATACTTGCCAATGACCATCAATGACAGCTTCTCACTACCGGTCATATTTACGCTAAACGTGAGCGATATAATTTGTGGCGTGTTTCCCTGTGGTGCACTTCTCGTTCTTAAATAACAATGTCCTGTTTGGAAGCAGGCAATAGAAAAGTGCCGACTCATCAAAATTAAAAATATCGACGGCATCGTAGGCTGTCAAGGCTTCCTGCAAAATGGTGTCCTGCTATTCAACAGCACCTTCTTTGCCTGCTGCAGCAGCCTCACCACAAACAGCTTTCGCCACAATGCCGTAGCGGGACCGTGACAACCAGCCGTTGCTACAGGCAAAACAGGGGCAGTTCAGCTGATCTGCAAAAGTTTGTGCTTTTCCAGTCAAAAGGGGTGCAATAATTGACAGGTTCACGCTCCGTGCTCTTTTCAGCCAAAGAAGCAGGGCCTTTTCCACTTCGGGATAAGCAGAGTCTCTGATGCGGCACCTCTACAAATTGCTTCGTGTGCGGCCTGTCAACTTTTCGCGAGCGTTTAAAATTCCACACACAGTCATCAGCAGCAAGTTCTTTTCGTGGGTTACCGCAGATTTCTTGGCCCCATTTTCAATGGTGCGAATGATTTCAAGTTTTTCTTTTACACTCGAGATCTGATGCTTTGGCATAATAAGTTTTAGTGTGTGAATTCAATCGCACCCCTGGCACACAACACAACAAGAAATAAAAAAAAACACAACACGCCGCACAAGAAAGTAGGTAACGCAATACCACCCCACCGCCATCACGATCAACACTGCAGAAAGATGAGGACTATAGACCGAATAAAGAAACGTGCTCAGCTTGGCTCAGCGCTGTTGAGCCGTTTGGAATACCTACTTGGCTTGCATTGGAGAGCGACAGTGAATTTGCACCACTACAGGGAGCAGCAATCGAGTGTTCCTGGGTTACAAAAACCGATCTCGAAGGCCATGCTTTTGCACAATGCGATCGGCAACAGCTGTGCGCACAGAAAATACGTCAACGTGGCCATGTTTTGATGTCACTATTGCTGCCTGTTATAGCCTGATTGTCACAGCTAGTGTATTGAACATCTGTGCGCACAAAATTTTGCCGATTTTCGACCTGTGCATGGATAACGAGAACGAAAATAGTACGCACTAACGGTATGAAACAACACAAGTGACTACAGCATTAAGTGGTCAGCGAATACATGGGGTTCAATGGAGGTGGAGCGGGAGATTCCTCGCGACTATGTATAAACAGCAATTAATCGGGTACGTATTAAAGAGGTTTGAATGTAATGCATGCGAAGGCTATTTTTCAAAGAAGGACATGAAGTCAATTCTTTAATATTGCACACGCTGAGAAAAAGCGATTAGCGCTTGAAAGTGCTCCATGCAAAAAATAGTGCAAGCCATGTTCCTTGAGCACAAGCAAGGCTGCGCTATACGACGTCTGCTCAACGCCAAGTGTCCCTGCATATAGCGCCCCTTGCGGCATCGATGCACTTCGGGGACCGGCTTTCGGGGACCGGTTTCCGGGGGCGCTTTTCACACCTCCCCATTCTAGACACTTTATCAAAAGCTTCCACTGCCATTGTAATCATCAGCAGTGGTGCCATTGGGAAAGGCTATGCAAGGCCTACAGTTCACTAGCAACGTCACTTTGCTTCGGTTATATCTGTCAGTGTGCTATTTTCTTTTTGCTATTTCCTTCAGAAATGAGTGGTAGTCGACAGCAGATTACGATATGCTTTAAAGGAGCACTGACATTAAATTTACTCATGCCAAGATTGTTGCATCAGCGAGTTGCTATCGACCTTCCAGTGGTGATTCGCAACCTAAAATGCACCTGAGTGACAAATAATTATCTGTAATATTAATATATCCGCTATCGAACATGGTTCAAAATGGGTTGAAAGCCGGCCAAATTGTAGTGCTGTCAGCGCTACCTCAATACCACGTCGAGACTGCTGCACAGCTGATGCTGCTTCCACAAAAAATGGTGACGTCATGCACACTGGCATTTCGTCTGCTAGGAGCGCACGTGCAGTCAGTCCAGCTGTGTCTCTGATGATGTAGACTAAAGCCCCTCCATGCGTTTTCCGCTGGCTAGGTTAAGTAGCACTAACTCGTTCTTCGCCTCTTCCTTTAGCCCCGGCCTCGAGAAGGAGCCTCGTACTGCCAATTAAACTCAACTTGTTCGCCAACACAGGATTTACTCTGTAGCGGCTCGGCACAAAGTGAAGCGCATTTGACGCCTGTGCAGAGCAGCCCCATTGACGTGCAGGTTCTCACTGCGCAGCGGTTCGCTGACATTCTGGCACGTATTGTCACTCTGAATGATCCTACTCACGCTGTGGAGCATAGTCAAATCAGTCGATGCGACACTGTGAATCGCACGCACGCTTCAACACAGCAAGGAGAGCCATTAGCGAGAGCATGGCGGGAAGGTGACTCCAAGCACACTCAGATCGTCAACGTCATTGTTAGTAGCGTATCGCCACTCGGTATGGTATTTGTGGAATGTATCACACCGAACATGTAGCACTAGTGTCGATGTCGCAGGGCAGTCTATTTTCAATTTTTTCTCCCTAGGTTCTCTGTGCTGTTTGACATCGAATTAAAATAACTTCCATGCGATGGATGCCATTCAATTTGGCCAAGAAGACCTATGCATACCAAGCGATCAAATGATGGGCCCATCTTGATCTTGAAATTTGACGTCAGTGCTCCTTTAAGAAAAAAGTTATCTGCCGAAGCACACGGCAACCTGGCGGCACAACAGGAATTAGGCGCATCGGAGAAAAGCGTCTAATAGTGAAGAAGCTAAAAGCAGGGCAATGCCCGACTGCATTGCGCAGCTTTCACGTACATTTTTGTCGAATATGCCCGCCATTGTCAGCAGCTTGGGACCTCGCCAACAGCCACCCTGGAGGAGATTCTCCTTTCCATCACAGTCCCAGTCCCGCGTGACCATAGAGATGCCTGCTGGCTGCTTGAAATAGACGAAGTATGGCTCCTTCTTTTCGCCAGACGAGGGCTTCTTCCACTCAAAGTAACTGCAAAACCATATCGAAAAAATATGAGATTTGCTTCGTTTCATTGAAAACACTCTGAATTACTCAAGGTGTCTGCCAATTTAATATTTCTGAATTCCCTGACTTTTCCAGGTTTTCCATGATGATTAAAAGCAAATTCCATGACCGCCATGTCTGCTTCGAAAACTCTGTGCACTGGAAAGAAACCTTCGAGTGGTAAAAGCAAATAAGGCACTCAACATAAAATCAGAAGACATATTTACCAGACACACTCAAAATATTCTGAGCATGTGCAGTAAATGTGAAAAAATATGTATATAAAATATGTATATGTGAAAAAATATGTATTGAGCCAAAATAAAACCCTTGAGAAGCAACACACATCAAAATAGTACATGTACCAACGCGGAAGCTAAAGAATGCTTTTGCTAATGTGAAGGACCAGTTGCGGAGCAGGGATTCCCTTGGTCTTGTTTATGCCATGGGCTGCCACAATTGTGACAACCAGTACACTAGTGAAACTGGTGATTTTAAGAGCTAAACAACACAAACATGACGCCACGACTGCCCTCTCTGAACACGCAGAATCTACAAACCACCAAATACAGTGAAATCTCGGTAGAACGAACTCCACACTAATGAACCTTTGAGATTAACAAACTTTTAAAAAATCCCGTGCCAACTGCTAATAGTTTCCATGTAAAATTACTTCACTACTACGTACTTCAGAATACCGAACTTTTCAGGATAACGAGCATTAATTTAGTTCCGCATTATATTAACAATGCCTCATTACTACAAACTCATGTTCTGAAATCCGTTGCGACCACCGGAGCGGTACGCAAGCAGACGACAAAGCGAACGGACGCCTTGCTTCTCGGAAGACGCTCGACGGTGTGGAGGAAAAAGAAACAACAAAAAGGTGACTTTCTTTTCTTTCTTTCTTTCTTTCTTTCTTTTTTTTTTTTTTTGAAACGCCGACGCTGCAGGTTTACAAGCGAGCGCAGAGGCGAGGGCACCACGGGAGGGCAAGGTCAGCGAGGCAGAGTGGGAGTTGTGGAGCAGGTAGCATGAACGCGGGAAACCTGAGACAGCGAGAAAGCAAAAAACGAAACGCCAGGAATTTTCTTTTTTAGCAGTTTATTTTCTTTGAAAGAGGCGATGACAGCCGTGACGCTTAGGGTTTTTCTTTGTAGGCCTTGTTTTCTCAGTCGTGTTCATCTCTTTTCGGTGATTACTTATCGCATCTGCAAACAAGTCAGCGTTCGCGCTGTGGTGATACCACAAATGAGTTCATCTCTGCTTGCGACGAAGAAGCGGAAGCAGTTTTCGCTAATCGAGACAATGAATATTCTTCGGCAACTGGAAGGCAAAAAGCAGGCTGTTATGACCAAAGAACCGAATCGCACCCCAGGAATGCGGATGAGCTGGAGACCTTCGCGATGCAAAATTTGTGCTGCTCGCGTCAAAAAAAAAAAAAAAAATCATGGACTTCTGCATTTAACATGCATTTTCTGCATTTAACGTCTGTATTTAACTTCTGCATTTAACGTGCAAGTAAACGTGTATTTTTTGGTGTTTACTTGTGGATTTGTTTTTTTCTTGTGAAAAACGAGTTCAAGGACACACCGTTGTAAATGTAAGTCGTTTTGCTCGGTGAAAAATGAGTATTTACGGTTAATTTTCAAACTTTCACTATAACAACCTTTCAAAATAACGAACAAATTTCTGCAGTCCCCTGAAGTTCGTTATACCGAGATTTCAGTGTAGACTGGTCAAAGGTGTGTGTTCTGGACAAACAAAAAACCTGCATCTTCCCACAGCAAAAACTCGAGCGAATGCATAACAGAGTGGCGGCGGTATTGTGTGAATGTTGCATAATTTGATATGGTTTGGGAATGATTATTTGTTATTTCATCTTCATTATTAGAATTTATTGAATGAAGGGGAAGTGTTGTCTTCAACAAGTGGTGGGAAACTGATGTTGGGCTGTGCCCCAATGCTGGTTGAAGGTACTGTTACTTCCACCACATTTACTCGAGCTAAGAAAAGCGTAAAGCGATAGCCAAGTAAAAATGCCCTTGACTGAATTACAAACCCCCGATCCAGTGCCTACACATGCGGGGTGGCCAGTGAACGGTTTTGCAGTGCAAGCAGCCGGTTTTTACAAGCAGACGCTGCCCGCGTCCGCCTTGCAAGGCGAGAGGGGGCGGGGGAGCGACAGTAGACACGAGGCACGAGTATGCGGTACGAGACGCAAGCATGTGCAGTAGGGTGTAGACCCCACCGCCAATGCTGGATTTGCGAGTAGACATGACTATAAAATGCTCCACACTTAAAATAAGCTTGCATCATGCCTATACCTGGAATCTAGACACAGACAACTGAACATAAGCTGAACAGGAGTGATGGGACGCTTCAGACAATGTACTCTCGCTGCTTACGTCACGTATTTAGGGGTATTTAAATACGCTGTGCCTTTCTTATGCCTTTTATTGTGAGCAAGGCTCTCTCACATATTGGGTGCTAAAGCATCAGTAAAAACGTTCCATGGGTCGGTGTATCCTTACGCGTTTGCACTAGGAAGCAGCAGTTATGCACTGTTTTATTTTTTTCACACTTTTTCTAGCAGCTCCCTCTAATTGCAGTAAGAAGAGCAACTTTTTGAGCTTTGATCAATGGTAATGCTTATTTTTGTGACGGCCGCACAAAACTTCTGTCAGTTTCCACGACCTGGCCACGTTTTTGAGAAATTTGCTGGCTTTTCCAAGATTTTTCCAGAAGGGTCCAAATTTCCTGACTTTTCCAGATTGGTAAACACCCTGTTAACACGTGGGAAATGACACTGCCAGCCCCTATGAGCATTGAACAATAAAACAATTAAAAAATAAGATGAATCTATGCAATGTGCTCATAGGTGACAATGCATTTTAGTGGAGTTCAGACTCTAAATGTGGCTGCAGAAAGAAACATGCAGCCACTGCAACTCCACAATAATTGGTGGCCAGATTATGTCCCACTCCCGTGAAGCAACCACCATGCTGGAAGCAACTGGCAGCCAACAAGTAAATCGCTGCCACTTTAGCTGCCAAGAAAACTGGTTGCATATGTTGCTCCTGTGTGGCAGTGCAATGTGCTGGAATGAAATCCAGGCATTGCATTTACTTAAGCCCCCGCTTTTTAATAGCTTTACCACTGCATGTGCTTTCATTGGTGCAGATTATTTTTCGCAATTTGGCCATTTGCTTAGACGGGAGTTTTACCTCCTAAATATTCTTGCACTGCAGCGACAGGACATTCCAACTGATGACTAATGACCAGGAAACCCCCTGCACTAACCCAATTAGAACGTTCCCTTCCCATAATTTTTGTTTGGTTTGAAGCGATGAAAACCAGCAGATAACGAAGCCAAAGAAGGTATAAGGAATGTTAATTGTACTCTTCTGTAGTAAGTGTGATCATGACATGAAGAAAACAATGTGGGCGAAAAGACAACTTGCAGCTGGCAAGCACAGAACCTGCGACCATTGGATTTTACTTTATGTTTTCAAGTTAGAAGGATATTATTTAAGTTATGATCATGAAACTCACCAGCAGGGCAAAGATTCTGTAGCACTACAGACATGCCAACACACTCAACGTTTTGTGAAAGCCTAAGACAAGTGAAAGTAGAGCTGCATTTGTAATCCATCGTGCAAGAGAGGTGCACACAGGTAAAAGCAGAAAAAATCCTGCAATGCAGCCGAGTTTCCCACATGCATTGTCACCTGCTGTCTACCTTGCAAATCTCTTGAAGAGCCCTGGCTCTTTCATGGAATCTGACTACTATACTATTCATTACAAATGCTTGTTTTTAAATTATACAAACACAACCCCAAAACGTTCTTTATTTTTACTTACACCACAAGCACTTTTTTTTTACAGAGATTCCAGTGAAAAAACGCAATTTTTCTTGTTGAATTGAAGAACAAAACGAGAAAAATTGAAATGAGAGAGCATTGAAATTTCACAGGAAAGCGAAATTTCAATGCTGTTAACAACATATTGTCTAACGGACTTGCAAAAATATCACCTAGTTAAAAGTGTGAAACAGATATTCAGCAATGACCACTTAAAGGAACCCTGCAGAGGTTTCGAATTCGCTATTCGCGACCTCTTACAACACGCCTACGAAGTTTTTTTTCGCGAGGTTAGATTAAACAATGGCTCTATAAGCGAGCAAACTTCTACCGAAGGAAACCCCCCTTTCCAGCAGGCGCACGTGCAGGGGCGGAGCACGGGAGAGATGGAAACATGGCGAGGTGACATCAAGGTCAGGGTCGAGTGGCCACCCTGTGGGCAACATTGCACTCAGCTCAGCTTGTTTACTTTGCGGTTGTGCCTTGTTTTTGCTGCAATCTGCTGCCTGGTAAAGCATCAGTTCTGCCCGTTCAAAGAGACTTCTTGCCATCGCACTGTTCTCTTCTTCTAATTAGAGATTATTGCCATCCGACATTCACTAGTTGCGTTTGTGCAAGGTTGAAGTGGACTCACGAAGAGAGTTACTGTGTGACATATGGCTGTCGCAGCACTTACAGTCACGATGAGGTCGCTTTTCACAAGATTTTTTCTCAGGATGAGAAGATGGCTGTAAAATGCGCCGCTGCAGTTAAAAGAAACACTCCCAACCTACGAGGTGAAGCGTGCTGTGGCGATCGCGTATCTGCCGAATTTTAAGTCAGCAGCAGCACTCCTCCTTTTTCCCTATTTGCACGCAGTGCATGCATGAGCACTTATGGCGAGAACACGTGTACAAGATATCAATATGCATTATCGAAATGAGCTATTCTACACGACAGTTGCATGCTTCTAGGGCAGCTAATATACTGTTTGCATTTTAACACATCATCACTGTAGTGCTAGGCAGAATTTAGAAAACGCCACGGTATTATAAAACCAGAACTGCAATATATGAGCCAAACTATTCTTGCGCAATTTTCAGCTCAGTTCAGAGAATATATCACCTATGCGGTAATAGCGGC